CCTTCTTTCAGGGTGTAGGACATAGGACAGAAGAAAAAGCTGAAACTGTTTATTAGAGAATAACTCCAGTTTAAAAAAATCAGCTTTTTGCAGATTAATTTTGGAAAGTAACGGGTGCCATTGTTAGAGCTTTTCTTGTTTATATTTTCATTTTTGCTTCTTCAGACCGAAAACTGGAAGGAAATCAGTGGGATCTGCATCAGGATCAGGCACCCCCACTTCTCAGCTCTACCCACAGTCACGAGGGCTGGTTCCAAAATAAAACCAGCAACGCCTCTCCAGGGAGGGAACAGCCTTTACCTTCTGGGAGCAGAGACAAGGACAAACCTGCAGAGAGAGCTCCTGGCCAGCCTCCAGCCCCTTTCCCTGGAGATGGCCTTGTTGCTGTTTAACTGACTCGGGCCAGTCCAGGGGCACTGAGCCATGGGAAGATCCGTGCTTGCAATTCAGCATTTGGCCTCTGTGGGAAATGGATTTTAGTTAGGAAATCAAAAATGCATGAGGTACGTTACAGTGTGTTAGGAGCAATGGGAAGCATGGGGATCACCTCACAGCATCACCGTCCTCCTCCTGCACCAGCCCTCCTGCTGCACGGCGCTTTTTGGCTGTTGGGCACTGAGAAGACAGAGCTGAAAGTCATCTCAACAGCACCACCACTCTGCAGCTCCACAGTGAGAGCCAAAAGAGGCTGAAAAGCAGAGGATCTGTTCAAACTCGACAAGGTTCATGGTTCTTTCTCTTCCTGCTTGAGAGACTGGCATCACCACCTGGGGTTCAGGCACTGGTCTGAACAGGCAGGATGGCAGTGGCCAGCATGTCCTCACCACCACACAGCTGTGCCTCCCCAAAGGGCTGTAGGACAGAAAGAGTCTCAAAAAAACAACTCTGTGGTCTCTAGAAAGGAAGCAGTAGAATCTGAAGTCCTTTCTTTGTTTACAGGCATAAGTGAGAGCTCCTCTAAGCTGACCTACAGACCTCACCCCTACCAACAGGAGCCACCTTGTCAAGGAACACCTCTGCATGCCATGTCAGCTCCACAGCTTTCCTCCTCTCTCTTGCCTCCATCTTTACCCCTGGCATTTAAAACCAGTGTCCATATGACATCTTTAATGGCTTATGGCCATTTTCTCATGCCTCCCACTGCTGATGGAAAACGTAGCACTAGCTCAGAGCTCTCCCTGCCAGGCTCAGACTCTCAGCTGGGCAGAGCTCTGGAACTTGGAGCTGCCTTTGAGTGCACTCCTGGGAGTTTGGTCCCTTCCCTTGATGTCTAAGGAGGTTTAGCATTCAGTGCCTCTGGTGCCTCACCTGTTCCATGTTAAGCAGTTTTCATTCTGCACCTCCCAGCTCACTCAGAGCCTGCTGGGAGTGAATCCAACCTAACTGAGGCTGGTGCTGGAGGCTGGTGTTAATTCCAGGGGCTTTACTTTGAAAACAAGGGAGGGAGAACTCCTGCTTTCAACAGTCTCATTGCAAAGCTGCCCTATGACTAAAGCAGGCTCGTGTAGCAGGGTAGAGGGAGGTGGAACTCCACACTAAGGACAGAGTAAGGTGTCCCTGTCTAGTGTCCCACAGCTCATTTGTAAGTTTTAGTTCACTGTATATTGAGACTTGGGATGTTACTTTTTCTGGTTGCTCTTGGCTGTCATCCTGTGAACGTTTTTACCTGTTTTCCCTGACTGATGACTCCCTCCAGACTGACACGTGTGAGTGTGTGAGGACCTGCCTGGTTGTAGACATGCTCTGATGTGTGGACTCTGCCTTGTGCTCGTTACGTGTCCACGGAGTGACTTCCTCCAGGCTGGAGAACTCCTTTCTACTGACCCCCTGAGCAGGAGGAGCGGAGTGCTCAGCACAGCTCACCTGTGCATCCTGCAGGCACGGTGCCCAGGTGAGCCAGGTGGGCCCCTGAACACCAGCTTGGCTGCTGCATTCCACAGGCTGCTTTCGTGGGCCACGAGGTTAATATATGTACACACATACATGCACACATACATATATAAAATAGTTTTGGTGGAGGAAGGAGGGATTTGCTTATAACTGAGAGAGCAGGCACATGACCAATTTCTTTCAACCTGAACATGGAAACCCAGCATCATCTTTGTTTTCACAAAGCACTGTTTATATCCAGAGAGCTTTTTAACTAGCTTTTGTTGCATAGTGTAACATCACCTTCTCTTCCCTCTCTTCCTTCTTTCTCTCCAGCACATAATCTTCTGTACTAGGACATTTTAAAAGATGATTGTATGGTTTAAGTGCTCAGAGAACTGAAATTAAATTGGGGGTGGAGGTTTAGAACCCTGAAACAGCAGCACAGTGTACAACCACGTGTATGTACATACCTATGTACACATGTCTTATGTGAATAATGCATACACAGACACATTTGTGTCTGCACATGTGCACATTTTCCTCAGTTGCTACTATCCCATAGGGAATTCTATTCTATATTAAACTCATATGCTGGAAACTGCCTTCGTGGCAGGGCTGGTACCATGGAGCTCTGCAGTGCAAACCTGTTTTCATGTTGATGAGCCAGTGTCAGAAAGGCTCTGCTTTTAACTCTGTAGAAATTCATTAGCAAGGTGAAAGAAACTCAGTAGAGTGGAAAAGAATAAATCTGCATATTTAGTCATTGTATGTAAATTGGGGCTTGGTGGAGACTTGGTCAGTGTATTCATGGGCAATCTCGGCCTGTTACAGAAGCCTTTGGATTCTCATTCCAAAGGACTTAACCCTCACCAGATGCTCAGTGGCACTGATGTTAAGATACATTGTCTTAAGCTGTACAAAACATACTGAGCTCTGGGTTGAAGCTTCTAAGAAACATTCCTGCCGAGTTTGCCCTTCTTTGGTGTTATCTGAACCATCTGGGCTTCCTGCTGGTTCACCAAAGGCAGGAAATCCAGCTGGACTCCTGGAAGAGGCCCTGGGACAGCCTTGCACCATCACCTTTTCTTCATAGGAATGTTTATCATTCAAAATAATTGTCTTTGCTCTGATCTGTATAATGGGATCTTTTTTTAAAAAAAGTGGCATGGAGCAGGAGTCGGGCAGGCCACCAGACACTGAAGCATAGGAATTAAAGCACTTTCTGAAATCCTTAACTTAGGTCTAGCGCCTTTTTAAAAATATTTGCATGCTGCTTGAATCTTCTAAAACACATACCTCTGCCAGAGCACCTGGGGCTGCGCCGGTGCCTTTTCCAGATCAGAGCAGGCAGTGCTCATCACTTTGGGGTGTGTAAGTCTGCCCTCGCTGGAGTTTCAGTGAGGCACCTGTGTACCTGGGCCTGTCCCCTCTCCTGTCCGTGCTGGGCAGCGTGCACCAGCCTTTAAACAGCTCAGTGGAATTCCTGGGGGTCTGTTCCTGCTGTGTTCAAACAGAGACTGGAAAAGAGAACCTGCAAAAGCCATAATTAGCTACAGAGATGGAGCTGAAATGAGAAGGCTGGTGCTGCCTGCTGCACTGTGCAGCGGGGGGTTGACTCGCTGGGATCCAGGTGCTTACTGCCTTCTCCAGCCCCCTTTCCTTTTGAAGAGGTGACCCAGGATCCTTCTATGGGCACAGCTGTCGATGGCAACTCTCAGCTCCTTGGAGATACGCCCACCTCCGCCTTCTCTTAGGTGATCTGTAGAAAAAGAACCTGTCCATAGTTCTGTCCATAGTTTTACAGCTTATATTTATTTGTATCATCTCTTTTGTCTAGGAATGTAAAGTGATCCTAAAATACAACGTGTAATAAAGTCAATAAGATTTATTGCATCTATCCAAACGTGTGTTTTTCATTTTTGATTTGGGGCAGGGCTCAGTGACTTCATGTTTTACAATGCCTCCTGTTATTTTTCTTTCATTAAAAAAAAAGTCTGTGCAAAATAAGCAGGAAAACGTAAATATGAGTGGAACTGCAATAAGTATTGTAATATGTATGTGTATAAAAATATATATATGTGAGTAGAAGGTGCTGATGCCTGCATGTGGCACTTTGGGAAGCAGAAGTGCTGGTGAAACCCTGCCAGAATCCCAGTCCAGGGTGGGCTCCTGCAATGGGTGGTGCTGATTTAACCCAGTTTTTATTGGCACCATGGGGAGAAGGAGCCTTGGAGTATAACCACGATACCCAGAGGAGGGAAACAAAGGTGGGGAAGAGTTTCAGCACATGTCCTGTGAAGGAGCCGGGGTGTTTACCTTGCAGAAGGAGGCTCCAGGGTGCCCTTACCACTCTCTCCACCTCTGTGAAAGGAGGCTGTAGCCAGGTGGGAGTCGGGCTCTTCTGCCAACCGGTGCCAAGAGCGTTAAACTGTGCCAGGGCACGTTCAGTTTGGACATCAGGGAGAACTTCTTGCGAGAAGGGGCCATGAGGTGTTGGAAGGTGCTGCCCAGGGAGGCGGTGGCGTCCCTGGAGGTGTTTGAGGACAGACGGGACGTGGCGCCCAGCGCCCTGCTCTGGTGGCCATGGCGGTGTCGGCCACAGGCTGGACTCGCTGATCTCAGAGCTCTTTTCCAGCCTCACTGATTCTGTGCTAACCGGGATGTTGGAGCCGGCCCCTCCGCAGATCTCAGCCGCGGGGCTCAGCCTCGAGCCCTCAGCCCCAGCTCGGCCCCGCGGCCGCCCCCGGCCCGGGCGGCGCCACCTCCCCGCCGCGGCCATGCGGCGGCAGCGGCCTCTCCCGCCATGCAGCGCGGGGGCCGCCGGGAGTTGTAGTCCGCGTGCCACAGCGGTGCTGCGCTGGGTTCGCGCAATAAAACTACAACTCCCGGTGGTCCTTGCGGTTTGTTTTCCTTCAAACCAGCCCCAGGCCCGCCCCTCCAGTCCCTCCCCTCCGGTCCCTCCGTGTCCCGCCGCGGCCACCGTCGCCGGGCCCCGCCGCCCCGCCCCGCTCCCGGCCCTTTGACCCCGTTGTTATGCCGGGCCCGAGTCGCCGCCGCCGCCGCCGTCTCCCGTAGCGCCCGGAGTCGCCCCCGCCT